ATCAGAAATCCAATACCTAAACTTTGAATTTTAAATCGAATTTTCAAGGACGTTCGGGAGCGGTGTCACAAGTTCACCCCCCCTTAACAGGAATTTCGTCCCCGAAATTCACAGCTCTACTCGAATAGGAATGCATACTGCTTCCTCATCAAAGTTTCTGTTTCCCAAGTCTCTTCTTCGACCCGGTCACTCTTCCAAAGGACTTTAACCAGTGGAACTTCTTTACTCCTCAGTTTCTTCACTTTTCTGTCAATAACTCTTACCGGTTGCACGGCATAGTTCAAATCTTCACGTACCTCCACGGGCGGCTTCTCCAACACATGAGAAGGATCATGCACATACTTCTTAAGCATGGAAACGTGAAATACATTGTGAATCTTCTCCAACTCAGGAGTCAACTGTAGACGATATGCTACGGCCCCAACCCTCTCTATAATTCTGAATGGGCCTATATATCGTGGGTTAAGCTTTCCTCGGGTTTGAAATCGAATGATTCCTTTCCAAGGAGAAACTTTCAAGAATACCTCGTCATCAACCTTAAACTCTAAGGTTCTTCGACGCTTATCTGCATAACTCTTTTGCCTATCCTGAGCCGCCTTGAGTCTCTCTCGAATCAATTTCACCTTTGATTTGGTGACTTCAACCAACTCAGTACCCTCGAGTTTGGCCATGCCAACCTCGTCCCAGCATAACGGTGTACGACACCTCCTCCCATACAATGCCTCGTATGGAGGCATGCCGATGCTTGCCTGATAACTGTTGTTATAGGCAAACTCCACAAGTGCTAAGTGGTTGTCCCAACTTCCTTGGAACTCCAATGCACAAGCCCTCAGCATGTCTTCCAAGATCTGTATGACTCTTTCAGACTGTCCATCCGTCTGTGGGTGGAAAGCAGTACTGAACTTCAACCTCGTTCCCATATACTCCTGAAATTTCGGCCAAAAACGTGATGTGAATCGTGGGTCTCTATCGGATACAATGGTCACTGGGACCCCATGCAGCCTCACGATCTCATCCGTATACAAATTGGCTAACCTCTCAAGTGGGTAGGTAGTGTTGATAGGCAAGAAGTGTGCACTCTTTGTGAGCCTATCCACAACGACCCAAACTGCATCATAGTTCCTGATTGTCCGTGGTAAACCTACCACGAAATCCATAGTCACGTGCTCCCACTTCCATTCAGGAATGGAAAGTGGCTGCAATAAGCCTGCTGGGTGCTGATGTTCCGCCTTAACTTGTTGACAAGTAAGGCACCGACTGATGTACTCGGCTATTCCCCTCTTCATTCCAGACCACCAGTAACTTTCTTTCAAGTCACGGTACATTTTTGTGCCCCCCGGGTGCATGGCATAAGCCGATGAATGAGCCTCCTCTAAGATGGACTTTCGGAGCTCCTCATCTGCCGGTACACACGCTCGGTCACGAAATAATAAGAGACCGTCATCTCTTTCTCTGAAGTCCTCCACCGGTCCCGCTTGCATGCGTTCCCGGATCTTCATAATTTCTTCGTCGGTTTCCTGACCCTTCTTGATCTCATCAAGTAAAGTAGGTCTCACCTCAAATCGTGCCAATAAGGCACCATCGCTGGATACCTCCAGTTGGGCTCTTAATGCCCTCAAATTAGCTAGCAATGCCCCAGACGAGCTCTTCCGGCTCAAAGCATCTGCCACCACGTTTGCCTTGCCTGGGTGGTACTCTATCACTAGATGGTAGTCTTTTATCAGCTCCATCCACCGTCTCTGTCTCATGTTTAGCTCTTTCTGAGTAAACACGTACTTCAAGCTCTTGTGATCAGTGTATATGTGACATGTCTCCCCGTAGAGATAATGTCTCCATATCTTTAGTGCAAACACCACTGCCCCCAGCTCCAAATCATGAGTAGGATAATTCACCTCATGCTTCTTCAATTGTCGTGAAGCATAGGCATTACCCTCCCATTCTGCATCAGTACACATCCAAGCCCTTGGATGCTCGCGTCGCTATAGACATCGTACCCCACACCTTGTTTGGGTAATGCAAGTACCGGTGCCTCAGTCAATCTCTTCTTTAGTTCCATGAACCCTTTCTCACATTTGTCATCCCATACAAACTTAGCTCCTTTACGGGTGAGCTTCGTCAATGGCGATGCCAAAACAGAGAACTTCTCCACGAACTTTCTGTAGTAGCCTGCCAATCCAAGGAAACTACGAATTTCCTTGACGTTCTTTGGCCTCTCCCATTCAGTAATGGCTTCTATCTTCTTGTTATCAACAGCAATTCCCGATCCCGAAACCACGTGCCCGAGAAAGCCGATTTCCTTTAGCCAAAATTCACATTTAGAAAATTTGGCATAAAGTTGCTTCTCCCGTAGTGTCTCAAGAACAAGTATCAAGTGCTCTTCATGCTCTTCTTCACTCTTTGAGTAAATCAAGATGTCATCTATGAACACAATCACGAATCGGTCCAAGTATTTATGAAATACTCGGTTCATCAAGTCCATGAATGCCGCCGGGGCGTTTGTTAGCCCAAACGACATAACAAGGAATTCAAAATGCCCATACCTTGTGCGGAAAGCACTCTTTGGTATGTCATCTTCCTTAATCTTCAATTGATGGTACCCCGACCTCAAGTCAATCTTCGAAAACACGGTTGCCCCTCGTAGTTGGTCAAACAAGTCATCAATTCTAGGCAAAGGATACCTATTCTTGATTGTGACCTTGTTCAGTTGACGATAGTCAATACACATTCGAAGTGTCCCATCTTTCTTTTTCACAAAAAGAACTGGTGCTCCCCACGGGGAGTGGCTTGGTCTAATGAAACCGTTATCCAAAAGCTCTTGCAATTGGGTTTTCAACTCGTTAAGTTCAGCGGGTGCCATACGGTATGGCGGTATGGAGATTGGTTGGGTACCCGGCTCGACCTCGATCACAAATTCAATCTCTCTGTCAGGTGGAAGCCCCGGTAGGTCTTTAGGGAAGACATCCGGATACTTACAAACCACCCTCACATCATCGATGTTCGTTTCCTCTTTGGTTTTGTCAACCACGTATGCTAGATATGCGTGGCATCCCTTTCTCATCATACTTCTCGCTCTCACGGCGGATATGATACAGCTATTTGATCTCCCTCGATCGCCCTCGAAGCGTAGGGTCTCCCCATCATTGCCTTCGAGTTCAAGAACCTTCGTGTAGCAATCTACCCTAGCATGGTTCCTTTCTAGCCAATCCATCCCTAGGATTGCATCGAATTCAATCATGCCCAGCGGTACGAAGTCACACGTCAAGGCTTGACCATTAACCTCCACCCCACAAGATGGATAATAACAAGTTCTTTCCACGTCATCTCCTAGTGGTGTTGATACCACTAAGGTTTGCATCAATGGTGCGGATTGCACCCCCAACCTCTTGGCGAACGCTTCATTCACAAATGAACATTGCGCCCCGGTATCGATAAGGATTCGCGCATCCTTCCCATTAATCTTTAGTGTCCCTACATTTATGAACCATGTAAGACATTTTTCCTACCATTCCTATACATTTAGAGAGGTTTATTATGTTCACACACGTGTTTGGGATCAAGAACCGGTCTTAACGTTGCAATACGGCGCGAAAAAGTCGACTTTGGGCTGCCCAGGAGGTACGCACGGCGTGCCTAGGAGGTACGCACGGCGTGCGTGTCTTATAACCTCAAAACGGAGCTACTGCCACCAACGCACGGACCAACGCACGGACAATGCACGTCCGTGCGTATAGCAATTTCTTCCCGGTTGCTACTGCCACCAACACACGGACCAACGCACGGACAACGCACGGCCGTGCGTATAGCAATTTCTTCCCGGGTTGCTACTTCCACCAACGCACGGACCAACGCACGGACAACGCACGGCCGTGCGTATGGTCCAGCCTGGTGTGCGTTGGCGGAAATCAGCCGTCTTTCGCCCGATTTCGCTCCGCTTGACCCCAAAGCTTCGTGCAATGATCCCAACGACTAGCAACCTCAATTTATGGACTAATCAAGGGTAAAACATAAGTATACAAAAGGTAATACCTGCAACGGAATCCGGGTTCGCTTGAGCATCCGCCTCCGTCATCGCATAGACTCTAGCTTGAGTCCTTCCTTGATTCACGGATGGCGCGTTGCTCGCGCTTGCTCCTCCATGCCCCCTAGTTGATTGGGAACCCCGGGCTTGGTTTCTCGTCCCCGTGGCCCCGCTACTTGGTCCCGATGACCTTGCCCCACCCAATTGTGGGCAATGCGCCTTCAAATGCCCGGTATTCCCGCATTGGAAGCATCTAGGAGGTTCACGGCATTTTCCGAGGTGACTCTTCTTGCAATTCGAGCAACGAGGCGTCCCCGAGGCTTGTGACCCCGAGTCATGCCTGCTTGAGCCCTGGTTCCCCCTAGATGGTGGCGGCGGTGCACGGAAAGATCCTCCTCCATGATTTCCCTTTTTGTTGGAACCTTGGGAGCCATGACTCTCCCACTTCCTTTTCTTCGCCTCCTCGGCGTTCTTCAACTTTCTTTCTTCCCATTCCTTCTCTCCTTTCAATCCTTGCTCAACCACTTGGCTAAAGGTCATGTTAGGCAACTGTGTTGCCCTCTCACGCACCTCCAAGTCTAGGGCATCCCAGAAGTGGTTTACCATCCGGTTCTCGTCACAGACATACTCCGGTATGAACTCCGCGAGCTCCCTGAATTTATGTTCAAGTTGCCTCACCGTCATCTTGCCACCTTGGGTCAGGAGGGTATACTCTCTCCTCTTAGCATTCACCTCAAAATCAGAATAGTATTGGGCAAAGAACTCCTGTCGGAAATTCTCCCAAGTCACGGTATTGCCATATTTTCCCTTGGCTCCGTCCCACCATGTGGATGCCATCCCTTCAAGCAATCTCACCGCCACCCTTAGTTTAAATTCGGGGGTGAGTTGCATATCAAGGGCTGCTTCGTTCAACCTCTTGATCCATTCCGCGGCGACTGAGATGTCACCCGCTCCGTTGAAGGGTTTGCACCCCAAGTCTCGTGCCTCTTTGAGGTATTTGGAGATCCTTATGATCGGACCTCCATCACCCCGGCCCCCGTGTGGTTCAATGTGGGCCCTAGAGTCGCCATGGCTTCTTCCTCTTGAAGCCCCTCCCGAAGTTCGCCCTCCTCGGCGCCTTCGGCGTTCCCTCCTTTCCTCGCGCTCCCGCTGATATTGCTGGAGCAGCGCCTCAATTCTGGCTAGGGAGTCATTCTCCCCTTCTTCATCACTTACATCATCGTCATCCCCTTCGTAAGGGGTCTCAACCGGCTCGGTCTCCGGTTGGTAAGTCGAGTCCTCATAGGACCAGTAGGTTTCACTTTCTGTGTCAACATGACCGTCACTCACGGTCTGTGATCGGCCTCCACGGCCAGCTCCTCTAGATGCCCTAGAGGTCCTTCGACTGCCCTGTCCAGTCTCCACTGGTACACGGTCCGTCGGGTTTCTCCTAGTAATCCTGCCACCACGGTCCATTTCTGAAAGAAATTTGGAAGGAGTCGTTAGACTCGTATCAATGTCAATTGACGGATAGGTACTTAAGACACATTTTGGCTCGAGTCACCGCCATACCAATTGCTAAGGGTACCATCTTAACAATTAGAGACCTTGCAACCCAAGTACCAAAAGCTCTCCAAGTACAAAACTTCTATGCTCATGGTTTTCAAAATCTTTTCAAAAAGAGAATTTTGAGACTTCATTATGAAGTTTATGGACTAAGGCTCTGATACCAACTTAATTGTCACGCCCCGGACCTATCCGGACACGTCAACAATCCGCCGTACAATACGAATAGTCAACCGCAGTCCAACACATTCATATTATACAAGGCGTCTTGAATATCATTCACACATATACATCCATAAACAAACATAATAAGTAATTCATAACGCAGCGGAAAACATTGTTTAAAACAAAAGGGCCACACATGGCTATTCATGAGCACGCAGGCTCTATAGTAAAATATCCATGAGCATGTTTATTAATTTTTAAAAAAAAAACAGAATGGAGGAAGCACGAACCAAGTCTTCCCTCCTATATGATCTCTCGAGCAACGAGCACAGGAAGCAAGCTCTAGCCTCAACCTGAAAAATGGTGGTGGGACGCCCCCGAAGGGGTCAGCACTCTATATGTCACGCCCCGGACCTATCCGGACACGTCAACAACCCGCCGTACAATACGAATAGTCAACCGCAGTCCAACACATTCATATTATACAAGGCGTCTTGAATATCATTCACACATATACATCCATAAACAAACATAATAAGTAATTCATAACGCAGCGGAAAACATTGTTTAAAACAAAAGGCCACACCGGGCTATTCATGAGCACGCAGGCTCTATAGTAAAATATCCATGAGCATGTTTATTAATGTTTAAAAACCGAATGGAGGAAGCACGAACCAAGTCTTCCCTCCTAGATGATCACTCGAGCAACGAGCACAGGAAGCAAGCTCTAGCCTCAACCTGAAAAATGGTAGTGGGACGCCCCCGAAGGGGTCAGCACTCTATAGGGCTATAAAGTGCTGGTGTGGATGGCATCTAATAGATATACAACAAGTATTTCAAACACAAGATCCTCAAATAGGGTGATAATATAATCTAGGCCGTAACCCCAAGTTACCCCTTTTCAAAAATATACTTACTTTATATATAAAGTCAAGTAGTCGGCCCGTAGGCCCAAGGTTTGTTTATCAAACATATCCCAAAACCCCGTGACCCCTAGTCACAACAATATATAGGGTCCAACCCTAACACATATATTTGCATTCTCGAGTCCAACTCGACTACATCACCATGCACCTTATTTAACACAAGTTAACTAATCCACCGTGCATTTCTTGAGTCCAACTCAACTACATCACCATGCACAACAATCACCCCATCATGTCTACCCAATGCAATTCTATGAGCACGGGCTCAAGTACATCTCCTTACATTGGCATAGACCCCAATTCCTAAGCACTCACTATGCCTAGAATTGTAATATCAATAATCTATTTTGGGACATCCCTACGGACTGCCCAACCATGGTCATAGCATCACATTACATCAATTTAGTCACTTGCATCACAATCAAGTTCATCAATTACAATCAAATCCATAGATTCAATTCCTTAACAATTACAACAATCATTAACTAGTATTTCAATACTATTAAGATTATTCTTATCCATCATATATTCCATTTGTAAAACCCTACATATTTAGAGATATGTAGCAGCAACTTAATCATTCAATGTAATACATAAATAATCATTTATGTATCTACACAATTCATACATGAGTAAAATGCCTATTTCACACAATAGTTCATTTAACTCCATTTTTATCAATACTTTACCAAATCATTTCCCATTTCATTCTTTGGAAAATAGATCAATATTCCATCAATAATTTATCATCATAATCCATGGAAAACATTATTTAGGCATTTAGGTAATCTCATGCTTAACCTACAAGTTGTAAGCAACTAGATGTCGATCCTCACCTCAAATGAGCTTTAAAACCTTCCTTCTCGATCCAATGGCTAAAGCCTCGGCCAAGGAAGCTTGAGAACTGATTCCTTGCTTAGAAATGGGTGCTAAACAGCCTCCTCAAGTTGCTATTTCAACCCCTAATCGTTGATACGAAAACAGCCCCTAGAACGGGTGTTTTCCGGCTAACTCGATTCCTAGTTTTCCAATATTTGCATCTAGGTTAGTATCTAACCTTTACATCAATAAAATAACTTAATAGGGATGTTTTATACACTTGGAGTAGTGTATAATAGTCCCACCAATCGTTCATATCATTTGGAAAATGAATGGAAAGGTTTTGGGATTAAAAACTCACTTAGAAGAGTAAATCCGTCCCTGCGAGGTCGCGTTCTGCTCGGACGATTTGGAAGCCTTCCTCTACTCCGATTGATTCAAACCAGACCTTCACGGATTCCTCGTCTTGATAGCTTTCTTTTGGTATCTCACACGCCTTAATTGGATTGGTAAAACTCGAGATATCAACCAAACAGTCTCAGCACTCTCACAGCTCGAGTTCACAGACCACTGCTCGTTCCAGATCGATTTTTGTAAGATAATCTCTCTCTCCTCGAACAAAGGCCACTCAATTATGAAACTACACTTCAAGAGCTATCCAAGGACACCTCATACACGTTATTTGGTTGAGGATAGCTCCTATAATGAGAGGAGACAAACAGCACACCAATTTGTGCGAAAATAAGGATGGTGGCCCAAGCTTTGATTCCTATCAAGTCATGTGCAGCTCCCCTCCATTATGGCCGGCCAAGGTAGGTCTTCTAACCCATTTTTATTTGTTTTGCAGGTACTAATATCATGTGGAGTGGTTCCCAATTGATCCCATTAAATTTGGGGTCCAAAATATCTACCAAGACTTCCAAAAATGGGAAGATGGGTCCTATTGTTTTATCTTTGTCAAAGATATCTTTTTGAACTCATCCTAATTTATTTAGAACAAGTCAACTTCCTAAATCACATTATTGATCTCCAATATGTGTAGGCTCACCCCAATAATTTACTTGATGGATGTTTTAGAAGGAAAATCCTACTCCCATTATTTAGCTCAATAATGCCAAAGATGGGGTTATAGACATTTGTATTCTCCTTTAATCATTCTTTCACTATTTAGGTAATGTTGGGCTCTTTTATTTATTAATAAGTCCCGAGTAAGTATTTGCGAAACCCGACATTAATGTACGAGTTTGAACAGTACGATATTCAACCATGCACTACGTAGAACATTGATCGTTTTACAAAATGTTTGGGAATCGGAAATCCAATACATAAGCTATGAATATTCAAATCAAATTTCCAAGGACATTCGGGTGCGGTGTCACACTATAGGGCTATAAAGTGCTGGTGTGGCAGGCATCTAATAGATATACAACAAGTATTTCACACACAAGACCCTCAAATAGGGTAATAATATAGTATAGGCCGTAATCTCAAATTACTCCTTTCAAAATATATACTTACTTTATATAAAGTCAAGTAGTCGGCTCAAAGGCCCATGTTTATTACAAAACATTTACCAAAACCCCGTGACTAATGGTCACGACATACGTAGGGTCCAACCCTAATATAACTTCTCATTTCTAGAGTTCGGCTCGAGTACATCATCATGCACTCGCATCATAGATCTCCTACTTCATATAATCATACCATAGATCTCCTACTTCATGTATTCACTCCATAGATCTCCTACTTCATGTATTCACCCCATAGATCTCCTACTTCATACAATCACACCATAGATCTCCTACTTCATGATATCACACTTGACACTTGAACCTCATTCAAGTTCATCACAAACAACTCAAACCTTAAGTTTGATTCTATCAGCATTTAGAACAATCCTTAACTAGCATCACAATACTATTAAGATTATTCCTACAACTCATTTATTCTTAATGGTAGCCCCTCCATATCCATAGATATGTGGCAGCCTCCCATGTGCTAAGCATCATCATGCAATCATACGTTTACATACACATAACATTCATACATGACTTGGAAAGTCAATTTACCATATTAGCATACTTTTATCTCACATGACTCCATATTCATCAATATGGTTTCAATTTATGATCAAGTCCATTACTTATCATTCATATCATGTTCAAGCATATTTATTCACAAAAACATGATTCAAGCATTTAGGTAATCTCACGCATAACCTACAAGTGGTAAGCAACTAGATGTCGGTCCTCACCTCAAATGAGCTTTAAAACTTTCCTTCTCGATCCAATGACTAAAGCCTCGGCCAAGGAAGCTTGAGAACTGATTCCTTGCTTAGAATTGAGTGTTAAACAGCCCCCTCAAGGTGCTAGTTCAACTCCTAACCGAAAATGCAAAAACAGTCCCTAGAACGGGTGTTTCCCGACGAATTCATTCCCTAACCTTTCAAGGTTTTGTCTAGGTTAGTATCTAACCTTTCCAACAATTAAAGTCACATAATAATAACATTTTATACACTTCAATCAGTGTATAATAGTTCTTCAATCATTTATATGATTTAGACAATAGAGAGGAAGGTTTTGGATTCAAACTTACTTTGAATACAAAAACGTATTCTGCGAGGTCGTGTTTTGCTCGGTCGATTTGGAAGCCTTCCACTACTCCGATTTATGCAAACCAGACCTTCACGGATTCCTCGTCTTGAGAGCTTTCTGTTGGTATCTCGCACGCCTTATTTGGATGAGTAAATCTCAAGTTATGGCTCAAACAATCAAAGCTACGCACTGAAGAACGAACCTGCGGACTGCTCTCCTCCTTCCTTCTCTCTTGGGTTGTGTGGATTCCCTTGCTCTCTTATCTCTTTGGGGGTTCGAATGGGGTGTATGGGGGGTGTATTAGGAGCCCCTAAACATGCTAAAAGAGTATGTGGCTCACAAAAGAACATGGGAGATATTTGGTTTGCAATCAAATATGGGGTGGACCTCCCCTTTTTGTTTTCTCTTGGAGTTTTTGTGAATGTGAGCCAAGAGTCCGCCCCATATGGTCTTCTCACCTCTTCTCACTTGTTTTGCAGGTACTAAGTCCATGTGGAATGGTTCCCAATTGATCCCAATCATTTTGGGATCCAAATTATCTACCAATACTTCCAAAAATGGGAAAATGGGTCCTATTGTTTTATCTTTTGCCAAAGATGTCTTTTTGTACTCATCCTAATTCATTTAGGACAAGTCAACTTCCTTCATCACATTATTGATTTCCAATATGTGTAGGTTTATCACAATAATTTACTTAATGGATATTATAGAAGAAAAATCCTACTCCCATTATTTAGCTCAATAATGTTAAAGATGGGACTATAGGCATTTGTATTCTTCTTTAACCATTCTATCACTTATTTGACATTTGTCATACATATTAATGGGCTACTAACCGTGTGGGTCACTCCCGAGTGGGTCTAGAACGCCATTCCCGAATACTTGCTATTTTAGCGGGTTGGGCTCAAAATAACGTTTGGGCCGTCCGACCTTACTCGGATTGTCTTGAAAGATTATGTATCACTATTTGGATAATGTTGGGCTCTTTTATTTATTAATAAGACCCAAATAGTATTTGCATGCCCGACACTAATACACGAGTTCGAACAGTACACTAATCGATCATTAATTACGTAAAACATTAATTGTTTTACAAAATGTTTGGGAATCAGAAATCCAATACCTAAACTTTGAATTTTAAATCGAATTTTCAAGGACGTTCGGGAGCGGTGTCACATATACCGTCAAGCCACAACATATATAATTGCTAATACAAGGTACCTCCATATTGTGAATCGTTGTGACCTATGCAAGGGTGGATTGGAAACAATTCCACACCTATTTTTTGTTTGCTCATTCACGTGTAGGGTGTGGGAGAGGATCAAAAGCTGGATGTGATTTGGGCATCAAATGAATACATTGCTTAGTGTGATCAAGTGGATTTCGAAGAGTCGTAAAGGAGCAAACTTGAAGGCAAAGGCAGCTCGGTTAGCCTTCTGTGCCGCGGCATACTATATATGGCATGCGAAGAACTATATTAGATTTGATGAAGGAAAAAATTCGGAAGATGATGTTGTTGCAAAGGTCAAGCATATGGTTTACAAGATACTCTATAGTATCTACCCATATGAGATGATCAACCTTTGAGAAGATTCATGTTTTTTTGAATGCCACGACATTAGACAGTTTGTATTCGAGTGCGTGCACCTTGTAGCACTGGTCATAGACTTTAGATTTTTTTGGGCTGCATGTATTGGCTATTTTGGATTTAGACTAGACTAAAAGCCTCTCCTAACCCTCTCCTTTTCTCACGAAATAGGAGGGGGTGGGGATTTTAGACTTTAGATTTTTGGACAAATTGTACTTGTTAAATTTTGCTTGGGTGTTAATATATATTTACATTTCATCCAAAAAAAAGCTAATATAATCAAACACTGCTACGCAAATGCATCTAGAATATTGTATGTTTCTAATGATATTTTTTGATCTTCTACTATTTTCATGCTCTGCATTCACTTTGTAATCACTTTTGATGTTGTGTGTGCTACTTTAGGTTAAGCCTGCTACTAAATTCAAGTTTGAGGTCATGAACAAAACATCTAGAAGTTTCTTAATGTAAAAAACAAAACACGCTCATGTTGGGAGTTTCAATTGGAACAACTCCTAAGTGTTCATGGTGTTGCAGTTGTGGATCAACGTACAAAATTGTCGTGTTATGATTACATTTCAAAGTTTCACATCACACATGAGCGGGTTACTAATTATAGTGGAGTAGTGCACCATGTTGGTTATCGCTTTGGTTGGGACCTTCTTGATTATGTGCAGTTCATAATGTGCAACTCATCTATATGTCTCACATGTAACTCTGGTAGACCTTAAAAGAAGCATCTATCTTCAGCTTGAGAATCTGCTTCTGGATAGCTGCAGCTTGAAGGAATCCTATTCCAGTCCATAGTTCATAAATTCTCGATGTCCGACCACTTCCATTTTTATTTCATCCCATTAAAGTTGTGAGACTTTTAGTTTTGTTTTGCTCGTAGTTTTTAATTGTAATGATTTGTTGGAAATTGAGCTTAAGTTGGTTGTCATGGTTTATTGACAACTAAAGTTGGAATCGTGTTCTTCTCTTTTTCGTGTACTCAAGTTTATTGAATAATAGTTGTTTAAAAAATTAGCTAATATGTTTGAATTTAATGTCTTTTTACTGTCTCGTTACTGGCCACCTTTTTTGTACCTATTTTCTTGCCTACTCCAAAATGCATTTAACATACCAATTTCTCTTACTCAATATGCTTCCCATTTCTTTCCTTATCTACAAGTCAAAGTTTCTAGATACTACGTACTATGTTTTTGAAACAATTGTTTGTATGAAATGTTTTAGACGTCCACCTTTAACAACTTCATTTTCATATTTATTTCGTGTGCCTTATTACACTAGCAGCCCCACGTTTGATATAAGCCATTCCATCCAAATCTATTAACCCCAATAGAACAAATATGCTGAATCATGCTTGAAAATCGCAGCACACCAACCTACTTTTTCAAATAAATAACTCACCCACCAAGCTCTTCACGAATTTTTTTTTATAGACGAAATCAAACTCTTTATTATTGCTGCCAGGCTATTTT